TTAGATTTCCCCGACGAAAGCAAAGTGGGCGTGGTCGAGCTTCGATTAAAAGGCTTCGAAAGTGGTCAGGGGGCGAAGGCCCCGAAAATTTTGACAATTTAGAGGTTTCAAAGGCTTATTTAATCGATTTTAGAGTCTAATAATATGTAGAAAATACACATATAGTTGTTTTCTCCCCGACGAATCGTGCTTTTTCTCCCCGACGGGGAGAAAAGGCCACCCCTGGTTTGCTTGAAGAATCTTGAATAAATTCGATTCTCTTTGTATGGATATCAACCATCCATCAACTTCGCGCAATTTTTGCTCACGCCACCAACTTCTAGAATTGTGCATTGTTGACTGGAGTGATAAAAGTTATTTTTTTAACTATATACAACAGAAATGATGATATAAGCTAGATAAGTTATATAAATTTAAATATAAATATTATTGTAATCAGATAATGAATATTCTAATACTGCTTTTGCTTACAGGTTGTTTTTAAAATGTACTAAAATTCATAATTAACCCCATCGAAGAGTAGACGATTCCATATATCACGCATTCGACTCGTGCTTCCGTTGTTCTCTTTTTAGCTCAGTGAAGGTTGACGTGGTCGCGCCTTTATTACAGTAATTTTGTGAAAGAGATTGAATTTGTTTAGAGTCAAAACTCTCATTTAATTTATAATAATCATTAGTTGGTCAGAGAAACTAACAAAATGGGTACTCCTGACAGGGATAACTACGAAATGGCTCCTCAATCTGACCGAGATGTAGAAAAGCAAAAGCAAGTTGAAGAAGAAGAAGCTGGATGGACAGGCCTTGGCAAGGAAGAGCTTCTACAAGTTGCTGATACACCAGCCTGGAACTGGACAAGAAATGTACTTCTTGTCCTGTTTTGGGTGACATGGGTGGCAATGCTTATTGCTGCCATCTGGATTGTCGTTACAGTCCCACGTTGTCCTGATGTAGAATGGTGGGAGAAAAATGTGGTGTACCAAGTTTCGCCACGTTCATTTTATGATACTGACGGTGATGGCGTTGGCGACCTGAAAGGTAGGCTTTTTGACTCTATCCCATGCATGCTAGCCTTAGGCTTAGATCTAAGAAAGATAGCGTGGGGAGGGGCCACACATTTAGGCTACATTTATATATCAATTATATAATCTGAAATACAGACCTAAAAGCCTATAAATTACTGTATTAGGGGCCTGTCTAATAAATATTAATTAGCCTAGGCTAGGCCGTAGCCTAGCTGGTGTTGAAATTATAATAATAATGTTATGAATTTCGTTCAGTCGCTGTGGAATTTCGTCGCAGTGGCGTCAGCCGCCATTGTAATCAATGTGCCCACCTGCAACATTATTGATTACAACTGGCTCTAACTGGTTGGATTTGACCTCAGATTGTACTTAGGCCAAGAATATTATTACAATATGGCCGGAGGTTTAAGTAAACATCTGCTCAAACTTTATTGATAAACCCTGGCTCCATTTAATATTTTTTTAAATTATAATACAGACTAGTTTAAACATTGTTTTTAGATCTTACTACTAGCTGAATTCTGTTTTCATATTTAAAATATATAATTACGAGAAGCCAGCTTTTTATAAAGCACAATGACGCCTATTGAAATGGTCATATAATTGAAGGATGAAAACAGGATATTAAATTTAAGTAACATATCCTTTGTAACAAAATCTCCCTGAACTTGATTTAGTGGAAAGCTAGGCCTGACTGATTATTTTTGATTAAATGTTTTAATGGTTTTCTGGTTCAAATCATGTATGTATGAAACATGCTTCCTTCAATTTGGATTAAGAAATTAAATTGAAGTTTTCTTTGTTTTCATTCCAGTGTTTACTGTAGTTCAAATACCTGTCTATAACAAATGTACTTTGAATATTTAAATACAAAAAAAAAAAACAATTCTTGTTTGCTACATTTTCTTAAATTTATTTGTTTTCTCATGGTTTCCTTTTGTTGATTAGTATACAACATATAAAAAAAACAAGATTTCATCAAATTTGTTTATATTGTAGTTAAATACGATTCTTAACAAAAAATGTCATTTTTTTCCAACACATTGACAAATTATTTTTTAAACGTCATATTCATTTGATGACCGTATTTGTTTTATGCATTAGTATATATTCAGTATTAAATTGTTTACAATTTGTAGGACTGAACAAGAAAATTTCCTACTTGGAAGAATTGAAAGTGAAAATTCTCTACATAAATTCAATATTTTCACAAGCGAACAACTCTGTTGGCCATCCAGGAAACCACATTGTAGACTTCAAGGGCATCGATACCAGTCTTGGCACCAAAGAAGATTTTCAAAAACTGATGACTACAGCAACTGAGAGTTGTAAGTGTGTATTGTTACTGTAAAAAAAGAATGCATCTTTAAGCCCCGTCAAAGACCCATCAAATTTTGTTTGACAAAAACATATGCCTAAATTTTGTTATGATGACATCACATCATGACCATATATATAGGAACATGATTACAGTACAGCCGCAAACTATTGCAATTTTTCCTGCGCGCTTGCTTCGTAGATACATCATAGCTTGACATCAACAATCTACGAAGCAAACCTACGAAGCAAAAGCGTGTTGTTTATTTGTATGTGCAGAAAGACTGCTGTAGCTTACTGGAATAAACAATGTATTGCTTGATAATTTGTGAATGACAAGCACAAGTTTAGACTGTTAATTTAAAGTATGGAGCTGTTTTCAATAAGAAAAATGTACACGACAGGAATCACATAGATGATGATGACATAATTAATTAATGTTGAAATCCAGACACGATGGCTTGCATTTCGATCTTATCTAAGATTAATCAGTGGACCATTCGGTTTTAGGAGCTGTTTCCCATTGACCATTTTGGATTTGTCAAGTGCCTTCATTCTCTTTTTCTACGTTTCGTTCTTTATTACTGTAAAACATTACAGTATTGTTAATATTATATAAATTTTATCAGTGCTGTACATTTTATTGATCTGAAAAATGTTCTCCCCAGCAATCAAGGTGATACTGGAATTCATTCCTAACCACTCCAGCGACCAGCACCCTTGGTTCTTGGATTCCAAGGCAAATGCAACTGGACCGAAGGCCAACTACTACATATGGAGCGAATATCAAGGGCCAGAGGTTAGTTCACACAATTTGTCTGATTTTAACTAATTAGTAATATTTGCACTATAATTTCAATACCAAAATATTATGAAGAAACTTACATTTGTTGCACCATGAGCACTGAATGATGGGCACTGCCGTAATAGATGTCTCTCCAGAATTATTATTAATATAAGCTATTAATTACCTTTTGGCCAGCTAGAGGATGTTGACATTTTTTGCTCATAAGCATGCATGTGATTTCATATTCTTAATTGATTTATTATTACTGTAATTTTTAAGTAAATCACATTGCTGACAATTATTTTTAGGATTAATCTTTTTTTTGTTGCCGAAGGCTCGACTGACCCAAAATCCAGAATCAGATCTTGTTTTTTGAAAATTACTACAATTATTTATTTTTTGCTAAATACTATATTTGTAATAGTTTTTAAACATTCTTTCAATTACTTTTCAGGTTATGGAGGATAATAATCCAGCCTGGACTAAGGTCGAAGGTCGTGGATGGTACTACCATAGCAAGGATCCTTCTCTTCCAGATTTCAACTACAAAAGCGAGGATCTTCGAAAAGACATCACTGTAAGAGTTTTGTACTGTAAGGAGTACATAATGGACCTTTCCATTAACAGCAGTGTTAAAACATACGCAAACACATGTGTTAGTGGGACAACATGTGTGCTTATGGGACATGCACGTATTCCTAGCGAAGTTCTAATTGGTTAACTATTAAGTTTGATTGGCACTCTGGAAAGAGCCATTAGTAATACTAATAGGTCTTTTGAACATATTTAGTGTGTTTGTTATTCATTAATTTTTATCCAGACATTTCTTATTTATTGATCAACTCGCTGGTTTGTTTTGAATCTGGAATGGTGTTGTTCGTTAAATATGAATTAAATACAATAAAAATAATTTATGTGGAGGAAAAAGTTTATTAATAATTTTATAGCTACTAGCTGGTTTTCCTTTTAAAAACACTTTCCTAGTGTAAAATAGGGTTTTTTTTAGTGTAGTTGCAAAGATCTGATGATTCATTACAACCCTTTTATGCAATTGCCATTGTAATGACTTTTATATAGTTAATTAATTTATTTTATTTATTTATTAATTTATTATTAATTATGGTATAAAAAGCTTTATTCATAAACTGGTTGGGTGAAAATTACATAACCATTTCCATTTTTATATGTTTACAATTTGATATAGTTTACTCCTTCACTGTACTTTTGTGTATTATTGCTAATACAGGAGGCCATGGGTTACTGGTTGAAGGAGTTTGGCGTTGATGGTATGGTGATAACTAACGTCAATTCGGTAGTTGATTATGGAATAGTCAGCGAAAGCAGAAAGCGTCGTCAGTCAACCAACGACACTACAGCTGCACCAGCTGCTGACCTCACTCAAGCCATGCCTGCTACTACTGATGCCATGCCTGCTCCAGTTGCTACAACTGATGCCATGCCTGAATCAAAAACCACCATGGGCGCTACTGAACCATTTGCAGAGCCTGGGCCAACCGTATGTTTTGCTATTACACTATGTTTTAGAGGGTTTATATGCTTTTAATAATAATAAATTTCAATACATATTTGAGGCTGTAGATATACCATTTGGCCAAAACCAATCATTGACCAAAACAAGATGATTTTTTAATATACAGTAACATCTCCCAATTATGTTCCCCTAAGTCCGAACAGAGTTCTTAAATGAGAAAGTTCGTAATTCAGAGAGTTCAAATTTTCAGCATCCGAGTGTGGTGTGAGTAGGAAGTACAGGGCTATCTAGGCCTTGCCATGGTAGTAAAATTTTCTCACGAAATATGTCTTGGATTTTACTGTTTTCTTCAACAAAATAATACTTTATCCAAGAAGACTTGTTCTACCACCAGAACTATAGGCGAGCGTGCCGTTCTAACCAGATATTATGGCTATAACTTGCGGAGCCCCTGCTAACCGCTCAGACATTTGACTCGCCTAATAGGTCGTTTATTGGAATCTAACTATATTGCCAAAGTTATTAGTAAAAGTATTATATCTTCTCTGTACTAAAGTATACAATACTGACACATTCTTATGCTAGTTACTCTAACATTGTGCAACAGTTTACTGGTTTTGGGATGACAAGCCTCATGGGATTTAAATTGCTGGTAGAAATATTAATTGTTAATTTTTTTAATTTTAAAAATATTTCTTCAGTATGTAATACATGAGGAAGACAAGATGCTGCAGGAATACATTAAACAGTGGAGATCAGTCTTCGTTGACAACTCCTACCTTGGAAAATACAGGTAAGTTGAGATAATTAATTAATTAATTGATTAATTAATTAGCATATGCCATTGCTAGCTTAACCTTTTACCTGAATGTTGGGAAACTAGTTTTCTAGTACATTTTGGTTTAAATGTTGTATGGTGCCATGATTGTTCTCGAAACAAAATGCATTTAACACCATAAAACTAGGTATAGAATCTTGGATTTTTTGTCTCAGAATAAGCATTCTTCAGTCTGTGTTTGATTGGCTCAGACAATAAAGGGATGGCTGTTCAGCGCACACTAAAATTCATTCTGGCTCTTACTTTTATGGTCAAGAGTTTGCTTCGTATACTGACCCATTTCCTGCTGGCCAAGCTTAAATCATCCATCTTGCATATTTGATGAACTGTAAAGTGTTTAAAGCTGTTTCATCCTCGAATCCTTTCCAGACTATCAACTTTTTTTAGACAAACAAATGTTGTATGCTCATATATGGTCATGATGTGCCTATATATGGTCATGATATGATGTCATAATGCCCATATTTAGGCATGTATGTTTTGTCATATAAAATTTGATAGACAGCGCTTTAGTGCAAACAGATGAAGGCCAATACTGCCTGAGACTGCTGTTGTTCAATTTTGCTTTTTTTTCTTCTGACCCTGCTAGTGGCATAAGTTAAGTTTGTCTTGTAGTTTTTGCCAGAGACTACCAAATATTCTGCAGATAGATTAAAGAGTATTAAATGTTATAGTATTTCCATTTTACTAACTCTTGTGTCAAAACTTTTTTCTCTCACCAGGCTGCTAGTAACATCTGGTGCAGATTCAATCGATAGTGCTGTTGTTCAGTACGGTAATAAGGGACAACGATTGGCGGACTTCCCTCTTAACACCCTGTTCCCCGATGTTATAACTGGTGAACCAAATGGAGAGATGGTTGCAGAAGCAATTACTGATTGGATTGAAGCCAAAAAGAAGGTTGATGAAGATACTTACAAACGATGGGATAGTTGGATGGTGAGAAAATTTCTAATAAATTTTATTTATTTTTACTACTGTAGAACTGTTTCATTGATAATAAACCAAGCACAATTTGATGTAAACCTACTGTGAGCTTTCATTGATGAGCAGTTCTACAGTCATAATATTCAAACGAGATGATACTATTTTAATATTGTTGTATTACTATTATTACATATTTTATATTCAAATATAATGTGAATATTAATTTTTCTCTGTTAGGTGAGCAACAACGATATCTGGCGTGTAGCATCGCGCTGTAGCTCTGATCTCGTGAACGTTATGAACACCATGGTACTGACGCTCCCTGGTACACCAATCATCATGTATGGTCAAGAACTCGGAATGCAGAATAACAACGCTTCCGAAGACCAGGTAAATATTTTATTTCTTGTATATTCCGGTGTATAAGCCGCAAATTTTATACCCGATTTTCCCCCCGAAGTTTAGGGTGCGGCCTATACACCGGTCGGTCATTAACCTACTCCCAAAAAGTTCAGATCGCGAGCCGTAGTGAAAATCAGACTCCGTCTGTCTAGGTTAGGCCCATGCTAGCCCAATTAATTAGCCTAGGGTAGGATCGGTTTGTAGGCCTAGTATTTGTAATTATACTCACTAGAGTGCTGTACTAGGATTCCTACTACATTTTCTACGACATTCGCAATCGTTTGGGTTATTAATTACTTTCACTCATAAACAATATAAAAAAAAATGCTTTCTTGTTCGCTCAAAACAATAACAAACTACTTTTCGTGAGTTCGGTCCTCGAGGTCACGTGGGCAACTTCATTTACGATGTCGCAACAAAACATGTGTGCTGGTGAAACTTGCTGTTCGACGTTTGGTTCCCGGTGGCTTGTACTGTTATAGAGAGAATATTGATACAGCTATAATTTTAGAATAAAAACTTGTGAATTTAATTTATGCTATAAAAACACAAGTTTTCTTGAAGTTGTAATAATTATTTTACTGTAGAAAGGCATACGTCATCTGTGCATGCATAAACTTTGTCACACACGATATTTCTCCAGTTCTGTGGTTTTTTTTAAAACATGGTGCGTGTGATGATGCATGCTTTCGCACAGTGGGCTGTGAGTAGTAATGACTTAGGCCTAGAATTACCGACTGTTATTAGTCACCATAATAATAGAATTATTGTTTAAAATAAATAAATATACTCAATAAGTATTTTATTTTATTAGATTTTATTAAACTAAACTGATGTTGAAAATTTAACGTAGCACGACTGTCTAGCAAGAAATGGGGATTTCCCTAGAGCTGCCTAGAGCAAGAATACATTGTTTCATTGCGGTAGCCAGAAGTTTACACGCATTTCCAGTTGTTTGTTGTTTAATAATCGACCGAAATGATGAAATTTCTTTATGTGAACATTTGTAAATAATGTCAATGTTTCAAAATTAATTAAAAACTTAACATTATGGGAACAGTTTGGAGCTTAAAAATAGGTGCGGCTTATAAACAGGTGACACAAAACATTGTGATATTTTGCGTCCAAATGAGGGGGGTGGCTTATATACAGGTGCGGTTTATACACCGGAATATACGGTATGTACTCCACTTCATAAAGTAAAAAAGTAATTCCCTGATATTTCATGCAAAGTCCAGGGGTTAAAGCCCTGACCTCAAGGTTTGGAAACCAAACCGTTCCTCTTCCAGTTCCACAAAAAGTTGAGTAAGTTTTTTTGTTTTGTTATTATCAGCAACTTGCTCCAATGTCTTGGGATAAGACAAAGAATGCAAATTTCAGTAAAGGTGAACCATGGACGTCGCTGTCTGATAATTGGGAATCTAACAATGTAAAGGTATGTAAATTAGAGAGCTATTAATGTTGAGGGAGAATTACCTTAAACAATATTTAACCAATATGCGAGTATGTATGCCTAATAGGTGAATCGTTTGATGATGTTGCTGAATTGCAGTTTCGCCTTCTCCCACAGGGAGTGGAGGCGATCGTGTATATTGTATTTTGTACACTGTTGTTGGGTGTTCATTTAGTAGATAATGTTCTGCTTTATTTACAGGTTCTGTCCGATAAAGACAAAAAAGATTCAGAATTGAACATTTTCAAGTCTTTAGTAGACATACATCTGGAACCACCAGTTTCAGCAGGTTTTTTTGATATTATCAAAAAATCTAGTGGCGTTCTGGCGTACCTTAGGCGTCTGGAGGATTGGCCAACTTACTTGGTGGTTATCAACTTCAGCAATTCAGTTGAACAATTAGAGTTCCCTTCGGATAGAGTTCAACCCGAAGCCGAGGTCGTTCTCAGTACCGATGGCTCTTTTGAAGGGGACCTTAACCCACAAAAGATTAAGATGAAGGGAAAATCAGCGGTCGTCTTCAAGTACAAAGCACTTCAGTAAGCCATGTTATTTGGCATTGAAATATTTTAATAATATTATGCTAAGTGTTGAACGGAAAAATGTAATTGCATCAGAAAAAATTACTTTCAGAGCTTGTTGCTACACACTATCTTCAACATCTGAAATATCTTTCATTTTCAGCCCATAAAACAGGATTTCTTAATATATTTATTTGGAAAATTGAATTTCTTTTTTGCTGTGCTTAAAATTTGTGTGGTTAAAATTAGTGTTATGAAGTAAACCAACTTTAAAATGTAAAAGCTATAGAATATACAAATTTGATTTTTGTAATGAAAAAAAAAAAACTGCCCTCTTGCCATCTCTAAACATAAGCAAATGTGAAATTCATTGTTGGGAGACAAGCATGTGTACTAATATAAGTCTAGGTTTATTTTCTTTTTTGGTGTTTAATAGTTTTTCAGTCTGGTTGCACCAATTTATTGGAGAACAACAGAACTGGCTATGTGTAAGCAAGCAATATAAACCCAATTCATAAATATATTAACAAATATAATCAATGACAGCAATACAGATAAAAGTAATAATATTTATTATTGTCTCTTAGCTGAATCGATAATGAACTTGATAATGAGAGGTAGAAAACTTGACCTGTTGCTGTGTGAAATTTCCAGTGCAGTGCTAATTCAGTTGATTAGTTGTAATCTGTCAGGTCCATTATCGTTTCGGTGATGAGAGATTGATCTAGCAATACTGGCAAGTCTTGTCTCCCCGTGTGAGTTTGTAGGTATCGTCCTTGCCCCTCCTTGTTAACTATCTTGTAAGTGTAGCCTGTATCTTCTTAAATATGGTATAGTGCCCTCTGTTGGTTGATTGATGCTTGCAAGTTAATAAAACAATGCTCTGAAAGTACTAAGTGTATTTGTAAATGTTTTTTGTTGGTGACATTTTCAACACTGTTTTGCATTCAGATAACTACATAAGCTTACATACATTACTGTATTACATAATTGGAACTACTGTACACGATTCGCATTTGAAGAAGTCAGTGGCTATGGTTACACCTTTGTGAGGAGATTGTTATGTAAAGTAGCAATACAAAATATATTTATTCTATCGTCAATACTGGGCAACTAGAAAAAGGGCTTGATTTACTGTAGTACTGGCGTAATGACCGGCACTACGTATCAAAAATAGCAAAATGAATAACTTTAAATTTAAGCAGTTTTTGTTGAGGGATCAATATTATTGTGGTGATTTGATTTGTTGCTGTCAAGATTATTTTCATTATTTGATTCTGTCCAGAATTGAGCATTGTCCTCAAGATTCTTGTCATTTGTCAACACCGCAAGCAAACAAATAAATTTAGAAAAAAGTCTTCGCTGATGACTCTGTACAAAATAAGAAGTCTCGTTTGGGATAAGAAAATTATAGACCCCTTATGTCAGATATAAATCCCTGTCCAAAATATAAAATTTTATTTGACAAAAACACGACATGCTTAATGATTGTCATGTTGCAATGACACATCATGACCATATAAGTACATATGATTAGAATTATAATAAATGAGCATACCAGTGGCGGATCCAGAAATTCGAAATATAGGGGGAACCAGAGAGAGGCAACAACTAGAGAGTCTGTAGACCACCTCAGCTCCACGGTAGTGGGGCTAAAGTAAGAAAATGTATTCCTCCATGTGGCCGGAAATGGCATTCTCAGGCTTAAATTTAATTAAATTTTTCCTTTTTCCTCCATTAAAAAAAATAATAATAATTTCGAAAAATTCGGGAGATCCGTGTCGGCCCTTACGCTTGAAGACGCTTACAACAGTTGTTTGTCCAAGAAAATTTGATAATTTGGACAGCTTATAACATTATAATTATAATTAGCAATGAATAGATAATTTTACACTAATCAGAACTGTTTTTACAAATTGATGCGTTGGAAGAAAAACCCACAGCTCATTGAAAAGCAAAACAAATGAAAATACTGTACACTTTTATTCAGTGAAAATAGATTTTATTTTGGATTGCTTGTTTACATTGCTATTAGCAAGCAGGCCTGCCGGTGGATATAAAAATGTCCAAAGCTGGATAGTACGGTTATTTTAACGTCTCATCACGTTCTGTTCCTCTTTTAAAATAAAAGTTCTAACATTCCGTTCATTTAACACGCATTCAAAGATTAAGCCTTAGTAAAAATTCTTTTGGCAACTACTCCTTGGTAGGTGAAAGTAACGTGCATTTCACCGTTCACAAGCTCCCTTTCGGCTTTGGTGCCGGTGGCTTCTTTGGCGTTGGTTAAAACCAGCTTTCCTCCTTCCCACGCTGATTTGACTGTTACGTCAATGCCCTTTATTTCTTTAATGTCTTGATCAACGAATGTCTCGCCAACCTAAACAAAAAAAACAGAATTATAGTAAGTTTTATTTTTTTTTTTTTCACAAATGGTAGAAATTTGCTTTTGTCCTTATTAGGGCATATACAGTATAAAACTTCATTAAAAAAAAACCCCGCATTTATGTACAGCAAATAAAACATTCTTTATTCCCAATTATACATTACACCTCTGTATCGATCAATCGAATGTATAAGAATGACAAGTTAGACTATGATTGTTAGTCATAATACAGTACCTTAATGTTTAATAATTACTCTTAAAGGGCTATACTCGCACATAAATAGAGATGGGTGTGTGATGGGGAATATATATTTTGTGGTTCCTCCTCCCCTCTTTACTGCTTAAATGGTTTCAGAAAATGCCATTCATCTCACTGTTAAAAAAAAACCCCATGGATCACTGACATCGATTTTTGTGAAATCACAGTGTAACGTAAGTGGCCTATGTAAATTTGTTAACTTATTTTTTGGGCATGCATAACCAATCGGTTTCATCAAGAACTTGATGCACAGTTCGAGGTATGGAGCCAAAAAAAAAAACAAAAAAAAACTCGCTGATTTTTCATCTGATTTCAAGATAAATATAAGATAACAAAGGACTGTAAAATCAAACAATGCAGTTTTATGAAAGGCAATTGCGGCCAAATGTCATATGCAAGGCTCAAGAACTCTCTATATATCCCCATAGATCACTGAGATCGATTTTTGTGAAATCACAGTGTAACGTAAGTGGCCTATGTAAATTTGTGAACTTCTGATTTCAAGATATAAGAAGGTAACAAGGACTGTAAAATCAAACAATGCAGTTTTATGAAAGGCAATTGCGGCCAAAAATATTGCTGAAGGTTTCTTTTGTCGGCCATACCTTAAATGAGTTCTCCCTGGTTTTGAGCTTGGTGATGGTTTTGATGGTGAAATTGTCTCCATCCTGTTTGATCTCTACCGTTGGGACAGCGTCACTAGAAGACAACTTTGCCTTTAGTTCTGGTGTGATGCCCACTTTCTCCAAAAGTTCTTCAAAGTTTTGTGCTTCCTTCAACTTCCAGGTTCCAGAAAAGTTGGCCATTTTTGTCTGAAATAAGAACAGAGTTCTTAGTTAGGTACTATATCTATGGTTGATGAAAACTCTGACATTAATTGTAGGCTACAAATTCATGATAACCTTGCAATACACTGAATCAGTTCTCACTGCATCTGTGCCAACAACCCTTCTACCAAGCCCCCCATTATAACAACTGCGATCTGTATACGCGGTTAGAAACTGTAAACCATTTTAAATTCCGCTCCGAAATTTTTGAATATTTAAAAACTCGCTGGAAAGGTGGCAAAGTGTGGTTACGCCCCATTTTCTCCAGTTTTTAAATATTCCAAAATATGTACCTCGTTAACCGTTCCCGAGTTTTGTTGTCAAACACCCTTTTTGTGTCTTAGAAAAGTCAGTTGTAAAACATATCAAATGTTTTTCCCCTCCGGAGCCTAGCTTTAAACAAATCCCTAACTCTGATTGGATATTACTATATGTAACGATCGGATGAGGACAATTTATTATTGTTTTATTTTATTCCTCCCTGCAATAAAACAAACAAAGGAAGGTTGGGGTTAAGGAGGGGAAAAAGCTGTATAAGTATTACTATCACCATAAAGGGTGTGCCCTTCCAACTTCTTTAACATTAAACATTAATAATAAAAATATAAGATGATTATTTAAAAATAATAAAATACAAAGTAATCAATTGGACAATAGCAAAATCGACATTAAAAAAGTTTCACAAGATTAATTAATAAATAAAGTATAAAAATATCAATAATTGAACTTTAAAGGCTAAATATTAAAATTGTAATTATTAAAACAAGTAAAAACAACAAATAAAATAGAGTTACATTTAACCATGAAACATAAATTATAAAATAGCAATAAAAACACAGGATCATTATTATATACAATTTTAAATATACAAAATTATTGAGTTATAAACAATTCAAAACCGATATTAAATTACATTCTAAGAATTAATTAATTGAATAAAATTATTCACAAATATTACACTTAAGGCCAAAATATGAAAATTCTAATCATATAAACAAGTTAGCAACGTAAAAGGTCAACCATTCCCGTATGCACTCAAATCACTTATTTAAATCATGTAGTAAATACCAGACACCCTCAGTGATAAAAGAAAAAGCAAGCCGTTATCAGTCCCATAAACGAAATTGTTTAAAATGAAATTTGATTCAGTGTTCACTATCATTTAATCAGAATTAGGAACTCTTCAGTCTGGAGTAAGAATGCAATAGCCATTGCCAAAATGTAACTATCTTGATGTAGATTACACCACATTACGAGAAAGAAGTGTAACTTACATTATTATGCTGCTTTGGTTACCGAGACGAAAGTAGCTGATGAGGCGACGAGTGACAATCAGAGAGACAGAAATATTGACGCTCTCTCAATTTATACTTGCAAATAGGGGACTTCGGCCAAAGATACAATATGTAAATATGATCCAGGTTATCTCCAGTGTAAAGCAGCATAAAGCGGCTTGCCTATTCACTGACAGAGATTAAGACCGGTGTTCTATATTTAACTTTATAAAATTGCCACCCGTCAGTGTTGTACAGTACTGTACAGTTTAAATTTCACATGATTTATGCAAACAGACCGGTATGATTTTCATCTAAACTTGTCTTGTTTATTTTAATCACATGATTTATGCAAACGTATCAGTACTGATTTTCATTTAAACTTGGCGATAAGTTCGTGGTCGTAGATTGTTTCTCAGGTGATACTTAAACACTTCAGTCATTTTTAAATCTTTGATAACTCTCTGCTTGATAACACATATTGGTGTCGTTTTCTTTCAACATAGGCTATCCTATGCTTCAATTTCGTTACATTAATACCGTGATTTAATACTTACGAACCTAAATTCTTAACAAGTGCCGCAATTTATACACTCCATTGATATTGTTATTTGAAATCATCAAATAGACCCTAGTAATAAAAAGAAAATAATTACTGTATCAGGCCTTTTTTCATAAAGCTATGAATTTGCAATAATTTTACTTTTTTAAGGCTCTTTTCGTTTCGAATTTTCTCATCACCAAATTATAATTTTACATCGATGATAATGATTATAATATGAGGATAATAAGGTTTGGTAATTTAATTCGAAAATGATAATAAACTTCCATTTAGGATCGCTTTGTTACCAACTCTCTTAAAAAATCGTACAAACATAAGCCTGATGTCATATTTAAATACCGGTATATTTTGTGAACTTCAATTCCAAGACAGTTTGAAATGAATTTCCGTTTGTCGCTGTGGCTGTAGCTGTGTTATAAGCTATCAATAAGCTTAATATGAACGTTAATATCCACGACAGAATACAATGTTCAGCGACGCAGTGACCAGTGACGCTGTCCATGCTGTGAGCTTACTTCCATCAATTCAGTCGATATATATATATATATATATATATATATATATGATGAATTTAATGTTGGGATGACGTGAGTTAAGGTAGTCAAAAAATAAATGAGCATCCTCTATATAT